TGTCTTAGTGGCCAGCTTTTCTTCTTTATATTACCTTATTGGTTCCTGTAAATATTTGTTGTCTGTGATTTCAAGCATCAGAATAAGCTTCCATCCTCAGGATTTATTTTTGGCAAGATAATTTCCTTTTCCTAAATGGAAATTGCCTGCTAGAGAGTCAGCAATAGTAACACAAATTCATATACCTGTCTTCATCTGCTATTTTCAAAAGCCCAAAGAAACAGCAACAACAACAAAAATAATACCTGATTATATCAAAACAGAAAAGAGCAAAACAAATCAACTTTGACCTAAATAGAGAAAAATAATCCTCCCTCTTTTTTAGCTTCAGAATGATAGCATACTTCCTAAAGCCTTACCATAAATAGCATTATTTGCAACATGGCCAATTTTCTAATATACATATACTCATATAAAACAGGGATCTTAGAAATCAGCAGTTTCAGTTCCAGGTCTTCTGAAAGCTCATAGAATTCTGCTGAACTCTTACTGACAGCTTTGGGGATTGTACCTTTGATGGTAGGGCCAGCTTTTCTTACAAATTTTTCCTTTCCTTCAATTTGAAAATAATATGTACTACAAATGCTTTGATTTCTTATAATTGCCATCATACAGTTAATGACAACTAAATTTTATTATAATAACACCTAAGTATGAACCTAAAATTCAGATTGTCCTGGTTTGTTTTTGCAAAACTGGTGTAAGTTCCCTAACAATCTGATCATTGAATTTATGTTTACTCTTTACCCAAGGTTAAACATATCATAATTGGACAGTGTCCCAATAAAATAATGTTATGTATTATATCCAGTCTCTCAATGCTCATCAGGATTTATTCTCGTGCTTATTTTACTATACTTGTTTTTTTTTTTTTTTGCCTTTTTAATCTTCTCATGTTTGCCTTCAAATGATTAAGAAAATGGAGTGCGGATAATAAAATGAGAGGAGTCCAGGTGCTTCATTAATATAAAGGACATTCCACTACTTTAAAAAAAAAAAAGTTTGTGATTTGAGATCAAATGGGGAAGGTAAAGTTGAAAAGTGCTGACATGTTACCAAATCATCAGCATTGTGAAACAGCAGGTACTGGAGCCATTCTAGATATTCATTTATGTTGACATTTTTAGGACACAAGGGAGAAAGTGTGGCTGTCAGTTATCTTATTTTGCTACTTTTGTAAAAGATCTGCTGATTCCTTGTGTATAGCTCAGGTATCATTTCAAGTTTTTCCTTGCTCTAAGCATCACGTCATCAGCCTGGCATCTTGTGCCTATCTCTAACTGTACTATTTCCTTTCTTCTCAATTTATGTGACTTTTTTCAAGATACTTCAGTATTTATCTCATTTAGCAGCAACAACATTCATGTATAAACAGGAAATAATTTTGTTCCTTCATTTCATCAAAAGCCATGTGTTGAAGATTCCTTTATTTATTTATTTATTTATTTATTTTTTGAGATGGAGTCTTGCTCTGTCACCCAGGCTGGAGTGCTGTGGCCGGATCTCAGCTCACTGCAAGCTCCGCCTCCCAGGTTTACTCCATTCTCCTGCCTCAGCCTCCCCCGAGCAGCTGGGACTACAGGCGCCTGCCACCTCGCCCCGCTAGTTTTTTGTATTTTTTTAGTAGAGACGGGGTTTCACCGTGTGAGCCAGGATGGTCCCGATCTCCTGACCTCGTGATCCACCTGATTCCTTTATTTTCTAATGCAGACACTGGGGAATAAAACCTAATAAAATATGGTGCATAGACTGGGGAGGGTGACCATTTCTCCTACTGTGCCTTGTCTCCAAAGAAAAGGAGGAAGTAAAAACTGAAAAATAACAGACTGATTGGTGCCACTGGCCAGGACTGCAGGTTAAAGATTAACCCCTACCCTAACCACTTGTGCTATCTATAGATCACAGACAATGGTATGGAGAAATACTTGCCTTGCTCACCACCCCCATCTAGTCACATACCCCATGCTTGCTTTGCTCAATCTATCATGACCCTGTCACGTGGACCCCTTAGAGTTGTATGCCCTTAAAAGGACCAAGAACTCTTTCTTCAGGGAGCTCGGTTCTTGAGATGCAAGTCTGCCGATGTTCCCGTCCAAATAAATCCTCTTCCTTCTTTAACCCGTTGTCTGAGGGGTTTTGTCTGCAGCTCATCCTGCTACAAGACAACTCAATGTGCAAGGAAAAAAGTACTGGTAATGACAAAGTGATACAGGTTACAGAAGATGGGCATTCATATCACTTAGGGCAGTGGTGGTTCTCAATCTTGTTCGCACATTATAATCACTGGGGAGGTGCTAAAATCTCTGTCTCCAGGCGCCACCCAACACCAGTTAAATCTGAATCTCAGAGGATGGGACTCAGGACCCAATATTATTTTTAAAACTTTCTAAGTGATTGCGATGTGAGACCAAGTTTGAGAACCACCAGTCTGGATATTTAAATATGAATTCCCAGGAGAGTTGAGACTTGAGGTTTTCTTTTTTAGAAGTATGAAGAAGCAGAGAATGTCATAATAGGAAGAAAGCATAGCTTTTTAAAGAGTCAAAAGACTGAAAAACAACATGACAAATTTAGCAACTCACAAGTTATTCAGTATGGCAAAAGAAAAGATAGTGAATAGAAGGTTATAAGGCTTGAGGGAAGGGTAGGCACAAAACTAATACTAACGGACCTCGACCTATTTATTTCCAATATAAATGATTGTTGTAGCAACAAGATGGGCATGGGAAAAAGGAAGTGAGTTTAGTGTAGTGAGAAAGGAATAGAAAAATAGAGATGGAACAGTAGAAGTGGGTGGCTATGAGGAAGAAATGTAAAACCAGAGTGTATAGGCTAGTACCCTTTGGAAGGAGCCAGAAACTGAAATGATCAGAGGCAGAGCGATGGGTTGGGGAATGGGGTAAGACAATTTTTGATTGAGGTAGGTCAGGTTTGATATTCAGTATTGAAACTAGGTGTAGAATGAATGTTTCATTTTTTGAATCTTCCATGGTGTGGATTGGGGGGCTGGAAAAGAGGGTAGAAGGAACTAGATAAGAAGGTGCATATCCTCTGTTACCTGGCTGGAGGGATCTGGGCTCAGTTTTCAGGCATGGAGATTCACCTGGGCTGAGGAGTAGATAGTGAGGTTGCTACTTAATGCTTACTTTAATACTCGGGATTGAAATCTATGTTTCCATATCTCTTCATGCTCTCTACTCTGCATTTCCCCCACATCTCCTGTACATCAGTCTGAGTATGGAGAGGAACCATACACCTATTTCTAAATCCAATTTGCTATTGGAGAAGAAACTCCTACACACAATTGATTAAACAAGACTTTCTGTGATTCAGGGAGTGGACACAGCTGAGCATATAGAGAATAGGCTCTCATTATTCAAACATGGAGGCATATGGAGATTGATAGTGATAGATTCTCACTGACCCATTTACTTCTTTTATAGGATTACCTAATGAGAACTATGGTTTGCACTTGGAAAGGGCATCTCTCTTACATGGGATATAGTTTGTAGCCATGTAAAAGAGACTATCAATTATTCATAGAAGGTTATTGCTCACACCCTCAGGCTGATTTGCATGAATGAATGAGCTGATTTAACTGATTAGCCATAGACAAGTACTGGTAAATACACCACCACTCTGTCACCCAGACTGGAGTACAATGATATGATCTTGGCTCACTGCAACCTCTGTGTCAGGTTCTAACTGATGTCTGAGGGGAGTTGGCAGGGTGAATGGCAGGTAGCTGGAAAACCACTTGAGGAATAGTAGACAGTTTTGACATGGCTTTACTCTTTCTCTGGGTGTGAGCAAGCTGTATGTACAGCATCAGCAGCATAGTTATACCTTTTACAGACAATAGTGGTTCCGAGCCAAGCATGAGCTCATGTGGGTGATCACCTAATGCACCTCACGTGGCATGGTTACATAATGTGTGGGGTTGTGCACCTGTACTCCAAACCTGCTGAGTCATGCTGCGCCAGAAGGCTGCCTCGGTCTACTCCTGACTAAAAAGCAGCCATTTCCCTTACACTCCACCCCCTAGGCTGAGGGCATCCTCTGGGCAGGGACACGTGCCCATAAGGCAGAGCCCTGAATCCATAACCCACAACAACAATACAGAGAGCAACAGCTCACTGCTAGGAAACCAGATATGCTACTTATGACTATTAGGGTCCATTGTAGGCCAGAGCCTAAGGGTGCCTACCATCTCTGCAGAGGGTCATCAGTAAGGCTCTTGACTCCATTAATCTCTTGTGAGAACTGTTGCAGGACTGCTATTATGTTTGCCAATTGTCAGCGATAAAGGTACAACATTGTGTTCCTAAAAGGGAACAGGGGCCTCCTTGGGCAGTAGTTATTATGTCTAAGGCCATTTGGTTTTGCAACACCACCTTTCTGATCTGGCCAGTAAAGTGTTAACAGGAGGAGGGCCACTTGGGTGTAATTCAGAGCCTGAGTGGTGTGCTCTGCAAGAGCAGTAACTTTTGCTTATGACACCCACTCCAGAGATAGTCATTGCCAAGGAGTAGAACCACCAGGGTGCTCGTTGAACTTGCAAAAACCAAGAGTGCAGTGCTTCCTGGTTATGTGGGTGTCTGGACAATATGGGGAGAACAGTGGCAGGTACATAAGGACACCCCCAGATACAACGTCTAGTCCAGTCCACTGATAGGTAAGGCCACCTTGTGTCCCCACAGACCCATAAACCCCTAGGGGGCATAAAGTCCATTGGAGCCGACCTTAGTGGGGCTGCTTGTTCTACCACACCTTCCGTGTGGTGATACGTGTTATGTTTTCACAGGCTGTGATGGGTACCCATCCCACGGTGGTATTACCCAATGTTGCTGTATGCACTATGGTGCCTGGGCCAGGGGTGCTACATGTTCCCCCACTAGCCAGCCTCACCCATCATAAACACTATGGGCCAGCAAGGGAGGGCAGGTGCACCATGGGTTTTGCGGCATCCTTTGTTCAAACCTTGCTGCGTTGTGTTCCAGGTGTCGGCCATCGGACCCCAAGTCTCCAGCCGTGTTATCTGCAGACTGTGATTGTATGTGCCAAGGTAAGTCATCACAGAAGCTGCTGCTGGAAGGGCAGTGCAGATCCATCTGTTGGAAACATTGGTCACCTCAGTGTAGGTGTGGGCGCAGTCCATAATGCAGTTGGAGCATGTTAACTTATGGTCAAGATCACAGCGCAGGCACAGATACTAACAGAGGTGAATCACATCTCTCAGGCAAAATAGAGGCTAATCTTTCATCCCTGAATAACAATGCAACCACCCAGGGCTTTTGCCCTGGGCGATGGTACCACACCTTCTCAGCTCACCATGGTTCCTTTGAGTCCTGTATCTGGGTCAAAGTCACAGGAGAGCTCATAATATGCCACACAGACAGTACATATATTCCCTGGAGGAGGGTTCCTTCCCTGGCCGTTCCACTATGAACAGTCAACTGTGTGGGGCTTGTTTTGAACACCCAAGGAGTGACATGCAAGTCATGTTGTAAGTCCTCCTCCAGGGAGCTACAGTGGCCAACCACCGGCATTGGCTGCGGGGGTAGGGGGTGGTTGGAGGGTCCATGGCCACAGCCAGGTTTTCTGTTCTCCTGCCTTCAGGGCACTGGGACGGTCAACAACAGGTTACCATTTGTCCCTATACCTGGTCGGAGGAGGTCATCCTTGGTACCTACCTGCAACTGAATGGGGGCAGGGCCAGGCCGCCTTTCCATGCCCATTCATTCAAGGTTTGGAGCACCGGGTCCAGTCTGGAACTCCAGCCCCACAAAGATAGGGTTGTGACTTGCAAGCACAACTCATTCTTCAAGAGCTCGTTATATCACTCAGTCATACCCACAGCTTGCAGGTTGTATGGCACATGGAATCCTCACTTTATGTCTGTTTGTTGTGCCCATTGTTGAACCTGTTGTCCAGTGAAATGTGTTCCCCTATCACTCTCAACGACAAGAGGGCGAAATTACATAGCACATAAATGTTGCAGGGCCTGGATGGTGCTCTGGTGGTCAGCCGCCCTGCAAGGGTAGGTGAACAACAGGCCTGTGGCTGTGACCATAGCTGTTAGTCATGAGTATACCCTTGTGACTTTGGCAGAGGCCCTATGTAATATACTTGCCATCTAGTCAAGGGCACTTTCCCTATCATCACTTGTTGTGTAACACTGAGCATCTGCCTCCATTTAGGGTATGCCTGAGCTGGGCATTTCTGACAAGCCTCCCAAATATATTGTGTGGGCAGGGACAGACCCCAACGTTTATTGACCTGTTGCATCAATTTACCCTCGGCATGTCCAAGTTTCCGGTGTAGCCACAAGGCCACATCTCATGTAGGTACTGACTCTAACCATCGTACCTTGGCTGAGGCATTTGCCTCATCATTGCTGGGGGTGGCCAAAGGCATATGGCCTGACACATGATAAATAGTTATATCTTTCTGATGACCCATTTCCCAGAGGTCTTGCCACATGGCTTGGCCCTAGATGTGTTGGTGGCCGACTAGTCACTTCTGTATTTTCCAGGTAGTTAACAACAAGGTTAAGCCTTGACAGACCACCCAGCTATTGGTACAGATTACCATAGGTGTCACCCCCTTGGTGATCACCATCCATACTGCTCTAAGTTCAGCTCATTGGCTACTTTGTCCATACCTGGTTTCAAAGCATATGATATCAATACTTGGTTGGACTGCAACTCCAAGCAACAGTAGCACCTTGGCTAGACCCATTAGTGTACCATGCCCTATTAGGAAGGGGGGACGCCCTTCCTTAAATGGTGAAGGCTCAGAGTCTAGGTGCTGCTCAGGTCCCATGGCCTTATCTTGCATTAGGACTACAGGTCCCAAAATCTGTTGCAACTCTGCTGCTAAGGGACTTGTCCTCCACTGCTCCAAGTAGGCGCCCACTTCACCAAAGTGGATGTCTATGCCATCCCAGTCCAGGGGGTCGTTACCCATGAATGCACCCATCCCGCTACCAGGTAAGTCATCCACATGACAACTGCAGCCCATCCTGTCACACTCTCATAAGCCTGAAGGACGGCATATACAGCTGCTAGCTGTTTCTCTGTCAAGGAAAACTAGAGCTCGGCTTCCTTCCATAGTTGGGACCAAAAGCCTACTTGCATTCTCAGCCACTCTGTGTGCTGCCACAGGCCTCAACCAAAACCATCTGTGGTCACATGCACATCTGGCTCAAACGGGCACCCCTGGTCAACTACCCATAGGATTTGTGCCTGCTGAATAGCCCACTGGGCTGCTAGGAAGGTGGTCTCAGCCACATCATCCCAATCCCAGGTAGAGCCCTTCTTTGTTAACAGATGCAATGGTTTTTATCATATGAGCTAAATGGGGCACAAATGTCCACCAGTATCCCAGGAGGCCCACAAAAGTTTGCAGCTGCTTCACCATAGAGGGCCGGAGATATGTCTGAACCTTATAAATGATAGCCTCTCAGATGGCCTTTGTCTTACCTGACCGGATAACTTCCAAAAATTTGGCAGATAATCCAGGTCCTTGGACCTTGGATTCATTAACAGTCCAACCACATGCTACCAAATGTTGCTGCAAAAGGGATGCAAGATAATCAGAGATTAACATAATATCATCAATATATTAGAATAGGCAGGCCCCTTCTGGACATTGCCAGGTGGCTAAATCTGTGACAATGAGACCATGACATATGGTGGGGCTATGCACAGAGCCCCGTAACAACATTGTGAAAGTCCATTGTTGCCTGTCCCATGTGACGGTGAACTGTTCCTGGCTCTCTGAAGCAATGTCAATGCAGAAAAATGCATTGGCCAAGTCCACAAGTCCACTACATAGTGGTATGGTCCCAGTTCCATTCTCATATGGTTCATCAAATCCATGATTGATGGTACAGTTGCATGCAAAGGGGGTGTTATTTTATTCAGTTCCCGATAGTCTGCCGTCATCTGCCAAGTTCCGTCAGTCTTTCTAGCTGGCAACACTGGAGAATCATAGGGGCCGTGGGTTCCTCACACTATCTGCACCTTCTCCAGCTTTTTAATTGTCTCAGTTATCTCTGTATGCCCATCTGGCAAATGATACTGTTGGGTGGATGTAACTCGTTGGGTTTGTGGCAAGACCTGAGGCTGGCGATGTGTATGTCCACACAGTACCAACTTCATCACACACACTCAGAGTCTGAATTCCCCAGTCATGGTTTGTAACACTAGGCCATCTAAATGGTCCATCCCCAGAATGTATTCTGGTATGAGATAGACATACACAGTATTTAAATGGGGAGCCAAATGGCAGATACCAAGGTGCAGAGATACAGGTTTCACTGTTACTAACCAGTCTCCATAACCGTCAATGTAAGCAGGTTTGCCCAGAAATTTATCTGGTTTCTCATAAACAAGCCTGCGATCTGCGCCAGTATCCACCAGCAACAGCACCCACTGTACATTGCTGGGGAACCAATGGATTGCTAATTCCACATGTGGCCTCTAGTCATCTGGTGTCCTCCCACGCCGGGCACCTTGGCCAGTTCCATAATCAAACAGGAAAGGCTCTACATTTCTGGTTGGCTGCAGGAAGTAGTCTTTGAGCTGAAGCTCCCAGGCGGGACTGGGTCACACAGAAATGTCCTTCCCCTTGGGCATTTTCTGCAATTGGTGCTGCAGGGACAATTGTCTCCACAAAGTTAAGAGTACTTCATTGGGCTGCTTATTGATTTTCTCTTGGTCGACTCTGGCCAGAATCACATCTATCCACATCTGTGAGCATGCCATTCATTGGGACTCCCTTTTCTCCCATGGGATGGGGGGGCCCCACAGCGGGACATCTTCCCCTTCTTTACTGCACAGATCCCTCGGTCCCACCGATGGCCTTCTGCTTCCCCGAGAGCTTCCATAGCAGTGGTCACTTCATGTATTCAACACCCTACATATGGGGTGAGGACAGCAGCTAGGGAGCAAAAGGCACTCGGGGGAATGGAACCCAACACGAGATCCCTCATGTGGGAGGCAAAATGTTCATCATCTGGCCCATGGGTATTCAGGTCAAACATAGCCTGCTACATACCCATCTCCCCAGTGACTTGCACAAAATCGGCATATGACTGCCATTTAGTCACGATTTTGGGTATTTTACCAGTGTCATTCCACAGTTTGTATGGCTTCCCATAGTCACTCAATCAGGGTGTGGTCATCTTGCCCTTGCGCCAACCTCCTGCTCACCTGCAACTGCTGATGGAGGGACGGGTGAATCGTAATCGAGGTTAGCTTTTCCATCTCAGAGGTGGAACAGAAGATACTATCTGCTCTCTTTGCCCATAAACAAAGCATCCATGCAGGCAGAGGTTCCCCTAGACCCTGGAGGCACTGCTTTCCTAATTCCCACAACTCAGTTGGGGTAAAGGCAGTGTATGAAGTATGTTTCATTACAGTGTTGGGTCCCTGAGCCTGCTCTTGGGGCCCCAATGGCTGTTCATGATCTAACTTCTGACAGACCACTGGGTGAACTCGCAATGGGGGTTCTTCCTCCTCCGTATCGGAGTGGGAATCTCTGGCTGAGACCAGGGACTCAGGCTTGCATTCACAGCGGCCTCAAATTCCTTTTCCAAGCTCTGTAGCCAGGTCTCCAGGTGCCCTGCCTGCATCTGGAAGTCCCCATTCATGGAAGCTTTTAACTCTTTTTCTGAGCTGTGTAGCCAGGCTTCCAGGCTCCATGTCTGCACCTGGAGGGCCCTTACCTGTGCTGCATCCCTCGGGGACTTGGTGTATACTTCTTGTAGCACAGTAAAAAATGCCCATCTAACTCTGCCGGCAAAAGCTCGCTCCTTCTTGGTGCTGTGCACTTCTGGCTGCTTCAGTGCCTTTTCCATGCTCATGAGGGACCCATCTACCACTGCCCAGGTTTCTATCAGAGCCCATCTGAGCAGCACAGCTGCCACTGGGTACCACAGCTCATGTTGCAGCCACTTGACCCACCCAGAGGCAGCAGGGACTGAAGGCTCACTCACCTCAGGATCCTGCTTGTGATGCCAATTGTCAGGTTCTAACTGAAGTCTGAGTGAAGTTGGTA